TTACTCAAAATTTGTTTGTCGGTCTGGTTACACTGTGAAAGTGACATAATATTATGAATGTTCAACTACGTGATGTTGCAAACAGGGAACATGCACAGTAAAATCATTAGTCTTCTAGACTACGTTTCCTGAAAAAATATTCACATTCTAATACAAGATAATCCACTGTATTGGTTGACATCTGATATTTTTGGCACCTAATTGCATCTCATAACGCTAGTGGCGTTAAACAACAATAATACAATCAATCAATCAATCTTAACTTAGTTCATTTTATAATGTTCTGATAAACTGATCTTTCAGACCTTTCAGAAAAAAAACAGTGTGTCTTTTATACATTTAACTTTCAGTGTATTATCAGTAACAGTGTTCTTTTTTTTCGTAACTGCAACAGGATTGTATTGATTCTTTAAAACAATGTCATCCAATTTGAAAATAAAATATGAAAAGACTTCACAGCAAATGTTTCATGTGAAACTACATGTAGCTAATTATTATTATACAATTCCAAATTGCTGATCATCAAAATCGTAAAATGGGGTCAAATATGTAAGATAAGAAGCAAAACATTAATATTATATATACCTGCCAATGCAGGTCTACATATATAAGGTATCTCATCCATATCTTTACTTTTGACTCTTCGTGATATTCAAGGAGTTGGTAGAAAGAAAATCAAATGATTTGTTACCATGCATGCAGTAAAAAGTGCACATGTACATTGTTTATTCAACAATATTTGATTGATTGATATTTAGAAATGCCGAGTATAATTTAGATCTATAACATTGTCATGATTGTTAATCACGAATAATTTCAAATCATTTTATGAATTTACCTGACATGTTAAACAAGCATACATGTATATGTAGGAAAAGCTTCATTTTTACTGATTTTTATGACATCGTGTTGAGAGATACATTCAAAGTCCCTGTCAAATAAGTAAATATGCATGTAGAATAACTATATTTGGAATTCGAAAACAAATAATATATAACGAATGTCCAAATAACATTTTAAGTTACAAGATATAAATTTTCAGTATTAGAATTCAATAGTTACATGTAGTTATTCTGTTAATGCATGTATTATATTGATTTAAATTAAGATAGTCAATAAACCACACCGAATGATGTTTATATGTTACCAGGAACAGCTGTTTGTATTGCTTGACAAATTTGACAACAGAATTGTTGTGCTACTTCCTAGAGTAAAATAAACACTGATATTTCACATGTGAGATTACTTCGCAACTCACAGCGCTTTAGTCGCTATGAATGTAATTCAATATCAAATTTGAAGCTTCGACTAGAGTGACATGTACTGTAACATAAACACATTTGATTTCAATAAACATGTGAGTATCTGTCCAATACATAATATACATACACTCAAGTTTCGACACTGTTTATACACTAAGCGCTAATACAGAAAATTGGAATCGTCCCCGTATCTGTCCCCGCCCCACATCAATAACTTCATGAAATATCTTTTACTTACCGAGTTCAAAATAAAGTCAACAGTAGTATACTGCTGTTCAATAGTCGTAAGTCGATTAAGCGAAAACAAATCCGGGTCACAAAGCAACAACCAAGGGAAACGCATCAACTATAAGAGGAAAACAACGGAACAACAGAAACACTGAACAGCAACAAAAACCAACGCCAACATACATAGAAACGGACTATTTGATAACAACTGCCATGTTCTTAAAATTGTAAGAAAAATAGTGGGTTGAACCTGGTTTTATGGCTAGCCAAACCTCCCGCTTATATGGCAATGTTAAAAATACCGCTAAAATGACAACATTACGTGACAGGAATACAGTACAAATAAACACAAGAACACTCAGAACAGAGAAACACATAAATAAATTATAATAGTACATTACAACATGTAAACCACTGAATTACAACGGACACCTCCCATGAATTTACGACAGTACACCAGGACACTACAAACGAATTATAAACTGTGCGTCACACGAATGTATCAACGCAACACAAAGTGAATTATTTTTGGTAACGTTTATATCATCACAAGTAAATTTCTAAAAATAGAATAGATTTATTTTATTGTAGACACGTACAAGAATATAAAATTGGGATTGAGTTTGTAATCTTGTTATTTTATGTATTTTCTAACCATGACAAGAATATTAAAATGGAATTGTGTTTCTTATGTTGTTCTTATTTGTATTTTCTTACCATGTCGATTTTGCTTCTATACAAAACTGTATATAAACAAAAACATCCTGTGCATAAAGTTGCTTTAAACTAAAAATCATATAAATGAAATAGCTGATCAATTATCTTTACTTTACATACATATAGAAACTGAAAATACATTTTGTCATCATCATATGTGGAATAGTTTTCTGTAGACATACATAAATCATTTGTGTCTTCTTGTCTAAAGAGTAATTCAGGGGAAGCTACCACAAGGGTTTTTTAATAGAGATATACGAATTCAGCAGTTGTTTTACTTAATTTGGGAACATTTATGTTTTCTGAGAGCAAATATAAGTATTTCAAGACAAATAAATCACTTGGATTAATTTCAATATTCTGTTTGTAGCAATATTAGGTTCAGTAATATCACAAACAATGGTTTCAGAAAAATGGAATAAGACAAAAATTTTAATATCACCCAACCCCCCAACCCCCACCCCCACCAACAACAACAATCATTTGTATTTTGATTTATCAATGATTAAACTATTAAAAAACTAACAGAGTAAAATTGGTGACCTGGTATCCCAATTTACAAGGAATTTGACATTTTTTAGGGATAAGTTTTTGACATAACTGCTAAATAATATATTTTCTAAATGCATTTCTTAAATCTGTCATTACCATACTTATTCATAACTACAAACGCAATTTTCTTTTTGATTCTCTTAAAGGTCATGTACATACAATTGTAATTTATACTCTTTACTTACAAAAATGGACCAAAAAGTGTTCAAGCAGTTGCCATAGCAACATCTAAATTTGATGTCGAACTTGATGTATATTTCGGTATATCTCAATAGTTAGATCATTTTCACAAATTTCGAACCAATTCTTTGACATGTCATTTCCACTTGATCTTGATGCTTTCAGGGAACGACTCTTAATAATCATAACAATTACTTTTTTTCATCTCAATTGATATTTATACTATATCTACTATGAGGTCACGCCAGATGCACTTAATTTACTTAACTTGCTTAATGACCTATTTTACAGCTGTCACCAATAATCTGCAGTTGTAGGGGAAATGGTATAAGGTGTCAAGATAAATCACTTAAAATGTTAAATGCAATAAGCAATTACTTCAAGATACTGTGTTATGACATCTGATTTACGAAACGATATTTGTTATTAAGAATGCAACACACCTTATCTATAGATACTGTGTAGTGGTTCTCAGAGCAAAGTTATTTATTAATGAGTATTTAACTTACATTTACAAAGTAATAGAGATAAGTATTTCATGCTGGCAGACTGTCTTTATCAAACTCATAATAGCTATTGGAAAAAACAACTAGATAAATTTTCAGATAGTAAACTGAAAACCTACCATTTATATAAAACAAACTTTGGTTTTGAAAAATATCTAATATTGACCAAGAATTTTGAGCTAAGAAGAAGTTTTACAAAGTTACGTGTATCTTCTCAGAAGTTAGAAATATAACTAGGTTTATATCAGGGTATTCCCCGAATTAACAGAATATGTAATAAATGTTCTTCCAATACCGTCGAAGACGAGGCTCATTTTCGTTTTGATTGCAACAAATTTGGGGGTGATAGAAATTGTATGTTAGCTAGCATTGCAAAATGTACTTCTTATTTTAATCATATGAGCAGTCAAAATAATCATCTGGTTAGTTAGTGTAGAAAATGTTGATTTACTTAAAATAATATGTAATTTATATACAAACATCTTCCTTAGTGATGATTATTTAATGGGAATCTATGTGTGTATGTACATTTAATTGGACATCTTAGAAATATATATTGATCTGAATATCACAAACATACTAGCCAATTTTTAAAGAAAATATTTGTTCAAATATTCTCTTATATCCTTAAAGCATCGTCCCCTGGTATCAACTACATTTAATTAACCTATGTTACTACCTTGTTTGCTTTTGATACAGGTAGGAACGAGACATTTACTCATATTTTACATGCCTATGGTTCATAAGGTATCACCCGCTGGTGTCAGCTGCCTTTAGAAAACCATAATGCTTTCCTATTTGCTGCTGACGCTGACACAGGATGACTCGTAGACATGTTTAACCTTCTTTTTTTTATCTTTTTGGCTAGTTATTATATATTTATCTAAACTGATGGTGTACTATACATATATTGATATCTATTTTTGGCTGTTTGTTTGTTATCTTTATCAACCACACTTTCATTATAATGCATTAGATATTTACAAAATTATAGATTCTTTATCTACATATTACTTTAAGAACTTAAATTGTTCTCATTTTGTTTTTTTTTTATCTCATTGTTTGTATTGTATTATGAAAATTATTGACGTTGTAATGTGTATGCCCTTTGGGGCCCATAATTGGAAATAAAATCTTCTTCTTCTTCATGATAGCGTCCGAAGCGCTTTTCTGAATTAACCTCCATCTAAAACGCTCAAAAATTTATATAAGAAATAAAGGGTGGGGTATGAGCTCCGATTTTGACAAAAAATTAAAATCCAAATTCATTTGTTTTAAACATTTATAAAAACGGAATTGTGAGATAGCAGTCAACTTGATTCATAACATACTTTAATAAAATGCTAGAGCTAATAATCAACAATTATGCATTTTGCAACACGACGCGTCCTTATCTGATATGTCTATCAACACAACACGTGCGTGAACTATGAACCCTATGATTATTCATGATTGAATGAAAGTTCCAATATTACAGATATGCTGTTTGTTTTCCCTTTTAATTTCTATGATTTGTGTATGTATAACTTCATATTATAGTTTTAGACATACTGACCATTTCTGACTGTCCTCGTTGCTAAACATTACAGCAGAATATCCAAAATGTGTTCCTTCTGGTCCGAGAATATTGACTACATTGTTTGTATCAATATTGAAGCAATCTATTCCAATTAACAGCATCATAAATGTCATCACGTTCATTGTTATCCTGCACAGTTTTTATAATTATCCTGAGCAAATACTTAATACAGATTTAATTTGGGTTAGGCACGTAGTCACGTAGAAAGTATTGTGATTTAATTTGTACCTTCAATTGTCTTTAAATACTTTATATTTTTATCTCGTAAACTCTTATACATAATCAGGTTTGAAATTTGAATCGTTATGTTATAACGGCATAATGTATTTTATGGAGTGGAGTATTGGAGTGGTGTTTTGGAATGGAGTGTTGGAGTGAAATTTTGGAGTGAGATTTTGGAGTGAATCTTTGGAGTTATATTTCGGAGAGAAATTTTGGAGTATAAAGTATACTATTCGAGCACTTGTAGAAGGTTAGGGAGATGAATGTTTTGTTTAAATTTGAAAAAGTATTAATTAGAAATCTAAAATCTACAGCTCTGAATATGAATATATATATTGGTCACAGATGATCATAAATAATCATTTGTTCGTGTTTATTTTGAAAATTACAAAATATGCTCCTATCATTAGCTCACCTTGCCGGAAGTACCAATTGACATTTTGTCATCACTTGCCATCCGTCATCTGATTTCCATAATTTTTATCAAAAAAATGTTTTCCTCTAACAGCAATAGACCAAATGATGCATGCTTTAAAAATTAATAATCATTATAAAAATCTTAATCTCCAAAACCACCAAGCCAATCAAAACCAAAATTGGCCATAATCATCCTTAGGGTGTCTGAAAATTCTATTCTCTTTTCCTACATATATTTACCTACATTGCCGCTATTACCGACTTGATATGAAAAGTTTATGAGGCCCTGTTTGTCACAGCAGTCCCTGCTTTCATACATGATTATATTTGATCCCCCGCTTCCCTCAATCTTAAATGAGCCAAAAGCATATTTGGAACCTAACTTTTATGTCAACTGAAAAGGATGTTAAACTAATATGCACATCTTCATATTAGGATCGGAGGAGTTGTGATGACAAAGTGCATACTGAATTGTATAAAATTCCAAAGACTAAATAAAAATAAAATGATGCTTTAAAACTCTCAAGATATATGTTTATAACTTAAAAAAAATCCTTCTGCAATGAAATGCAGGGTTAGCTTCCTACAACTGTCAAATTCAGGGGAAGTCCAAAGGGGCATAAGTCTAAAAAAAAATCAATGGACCTGGATATCATACTAATGTGCACGTCTTTATGCAAGGAGTAAAACACAAAATTGACCTAGTCAAAGTGATGCCCCTGCACTCTGCTCTGAAGTAGCTGTATCATAACAAAGTAAATGTATGACATTCTTTGAGAAACTTATGTGTTTGGGAGGCACAAATGATGCCCCCGTAAATGCAAAGTGTTATTCTAAAATACACAAAGTTGAGCATAGGAGCACATATGTCTATGGTTCACTGTAGGAGGAGTTACCCGGAAACGCTATGCACCTCTTAAAAAAAGTGAATACTCCAAAAAATTGACAAATGTCAACTTTATGCCAAGAGAGAAAATATTACTAGAATTCAAAACCCTGACCACATGAACACCTTCATTATATGTACAAACAGACAAAAATGTGAAAACTTCCTAGCTTTCAAACTGTAGGAGGAGATACCTGGAATAACTATATACCCTTAATGGGACGAACAGATTGACGGACGGACAAACAGAAGAAAGGACGGACAGACAGGATTAAAACAATATGCCTCCCAACTTTCAGTTGCGCGGGCATAATCACGATGCACCTCTTTATGCAAGTAAATACTCCAAAAAATTGACAAAGAAAATCTCCTAAAAGAGCAAATATTAATAAAAATCAAACCCTGAACACATGCACACCTTCAATATATGTACAAACAGCCAGCAATATGAAAACTTCCTAGCATTCAAACATAAACGGGGAAGTCAAGGTTATAAAATCACATTCATCTTAAATATTGCATTTGAGATCATTTCTAAAATGCCAACACAACTCAGTTGTATTAACTGACTGTTGACAGTTTTATGTTTAGGTAACAAGGATTTATAACTAATATTTCCATAAACCCAAAATTCATCCCAAAAAAATCAGAAAATGGAAATACTTTCAAGATTTTTAAATAACATTTTAACATATTTTTTTTAAACAGAAGAGTGACTCAAGCAAACGTCTGGTGTGTTAATTTGTAATTCAATGAAAATAGCTGAGAACAATAATGCAAAAACAATTATTTTGATACCTAAATGATAATGTAAACGCTAATTTTTCATCTTACAAAATACTACAAACATGATACACATGATACACGAGTATGTCAAACTCCCCATCATGGTGAAGATGCATTCTTCACTGGAACTGGGAAATCACAATTCTGTCTGTAAAAGTGATTATAAAGTATCAGTATGCATTAAAATTGTTTGTAAATGACTTGGTTAATAAATATTAAGTATAAGTTTCACTGCATGCATATTTTTTATTTCCATTGCTGTAATATTTGCAGGTAAAGTGCAATATTCACAAGAAAAATTTACTTCAAAGTTTTACTCCAAAATCTCACTCCAAAATGTTCACTCCAAAATCTCATTTCAAAGATTTCACTCCAAAATCTCACTCCAAAAGTGTACTCCAACACTCCACTCCATAAAATATATTATGCCTGTTATAACTGTAATAGTGTTACGTAAATTCGTTAGCAGTATATACATTTGAGGGTTTGGAAAGGGTCTACTTTTGTTAATTCATTGTATGTAATTTATATCTGAAAGCTAATACTTAATATATATATATATATATATATACAAGTCTAAATTGAAAACAACGTTCAAACCTATGATTGCGTTGGATAAAAACCGCAATTTTTATACGTGTGCATGCAAAACAAATTCTTGTTAGAGGGGTCTAAATACAGCACAAACAACATTTTCCAAAAGACCAAAAAAGTGAAAAAGTATATTTTAACAAAACGCATTTGACTAACAGGTCGAACAAAAAATGTTCTTAAACCCTGCTGACTGCCATTGGCGATTGCCAAATAAACGGATCACCGATGTAATAAATGCATCTTAATTTTAAATTTAATACTAAACAGAAAACAGTAAACTTGCGGAAAAGATGATATACCGCAAACAAAAGGTGCAAAGGTTTTTGTACACCATATCCAGATTTCGACAAATAATGTTTCTTCAGTGATGTTAGGAATCGAAACGGTATTTGAAAAGTCCAACAATTTACCTCATTTTAGGATAGACTCTTGAATTTTGAGGAGTCAAAGTAGGATGAACGGATCATATAAACCCTAAGGCAAATATAATACAAGCTCAAACGAAAAAATATAAACAAGTCTAAATTGAAAACAACGTTCAAACCTATGATTGCGTTGGATAAAACCCGCATATATATATATATATATATATATATATATATATAACGTCTGAATAATAGTCAACGATTATTCCCACGAGAGCGCTGGATCGTTACGAGTAACGATACATGTACACAATAAATAAATTATATAAACGCCTAAAACGTGTACACAACAACACCAATGACAAAAAAAGGAACTATAAATGTAATTATTTATAAATATTTCGGATAACAGATATCCTTCATCACAATCATATTTACTGATGAAGGATATCTGTTATCCGAAATATTTATAAATAATTACATTTATAGTTCCTTTTTTTGTTATTGGTGTTGTTGTGTACACGTTTTAGGCGTTTATATATATATATATATATCAATTTTACTTTGCTACAACATTTTACTACAATGTTTCACCACTCTGAAATTTTATATAAAAACACATTTCAATCAATTGTGTGACCAATAATATTACATATTCACAATTTTAAGGGTGCAAGTTGATTTGTCTACTAGTCTCTAGGCAAAGTTGACTTTAGATGAATTTGGCTATTTATTTTAGGTATTTTTTTGTCATATAGCTCTTCAACGGTTTCGGTACTTATACATCCTCGGATTTCAAATGTTTGGCTGTGAGCTTTCCTGATGAAGGTAAATCCAGAAAAGCGCTTCGGACGCATGAAATTATTAAACGTGTTGTTTTCAATTCCCTACTTGATAAAATTTCTTACCTGATTTACATTTATTTGATTTTCTTGAAAGTATGGTTCCCCAGCTGTTTTTATCTAATGTATTGTTGTTCTCAATTGTAAAGGCCGCTTTTTTTCATTACAATTTAAATGTTGTGAATAATTCAGAGATTGATTTTTTGTAATATTTTCTTCATTATTTATTCTTGTAGCAGTATGAATATTTGTATACTATTGTTCAAAAGAAACTATAGATTAAAGAGGTCATGTCTAAGCAGCACAAAATACTTCCATACGTAATTAATTTGGAAGAGGGGCATGCTTACTGTTCATAAGGGATCTGTTGACAAACAAACAAAGACTCTTAATGTAAACAATGTAAAAGTAAAAGTCATTTTCCTCAAAGGTTTTATGGGTGGGATCATTATTTGGTTTGGACATTGATTACAGCAAGTATGCTTCATAGATGACAATAGAGACTTTTTATTTGCCGAAAAATGTCTTTGTCACGTTTGATTGTAGTTATTTTATTTATCGTAGTTACAAAAAAAGTAAATTAACAAAAATACCGAAATCCAAGGAAAATTGAAATTGGAAAGTCCCTGTGGCAAAATCAAACACATTAAAAAGTAAAATAACCAAAAAAAAAGGGAACTCCGAGGAAAATTCAAATCGGAAAGTCCCTTATCAAATGGCAAAATCAAAAGCTCAAACACATCAAACTGCCATATTGCTGACTTTGTACAGGCATTTTCTTAATTACTATAAAAACAAAGAAATATATCAACAAAGAAAAACAAAAAGGCATAAAGACAAAGCACATCAGCAAAAACGAAAGACAAGAATACAAAAATATACCAATAATGGAAACGAATGGAAAACGCCCGTCCGACGTCTTGTTTATGAATGACCAGTAAGTCGACTTACTTAATTTTCGCATGTGATAAGCAACAGGAAAAGTACCAGTTGTTCTTACCCTTTCGGTGTATAAAACCAGGTTTAAGCGGAGTTTATGGTGCTTCATTTTTATTTTTCTATGCAGTCTATCAAGGAGAAGAGAGATTGAAGACAGGACAGAGAGACTTTGGTGAGAGGAGGAGACATGCTAAAATGCTTCGAAATAATTAACCTACGAATCTTATAGATATTTTCAAGTGTCTTT